AACCCTAAACCCTAAACCCGACTCCCCGCTAAGCCAACGAAACCAAGGAGATGAAGGCAGACTCCCCCGAAGCCATCGAGAGCCTCAAAGAAGGCCAGGGGGGTTTCTAGCGAGATGGGCCGAATGACAGGGTTTTGGGATTTAGGGGTTTAGGGGTTTAGGGATATAGGGGTTTAGGGATTCAGAGGTTTAGGGATTTAGGGGTTTAGGGTTTAGGGATTAGGGATTTCGGGGTTTAGGGATTCAGAGGTTTAGGGTTTAGGGTTTAGGGGTTTAGTAGGGGTTTAGGGATTTAGGGGTTTAGGGGTTTAGGGGTTTTGGGTTTAGGGATTTAGAGGTTTAGAGGTTTAGGGTTTAGGGATTTAGGGGTTTTGGGTTCAGGGATTTAGAGGTTTAGAGGTTTAGGGGTTGAGGGTTTAGGGATTTAGAGGTTGAGGGTTTAGGGGTTTAGGGGTTAGGGTCGAGGGTTTAGGATGTGATGTAGAACCCTAAAGATTATTCTGTAGGGTTCCTTATTATAAGTATACGATAAAGGAGCCCCAAGCCCTACTCTAATCAGTAAGGCCCCCACATTAGGATGTATGGGTTTAGGGTGCAAAAAGCTAGTGGATTTAGGCAGGGGTACATCACTATGATGAATATGGATCATTATAGGGACCTCATTGCCATCAACCATTAACATGCATCTAGGGACTCTAGGGTTGGGGGTTTGACCTTCATCCTTAGATTTATCGTTAGGGGGCATGCTACGATTTGTCTAATTAGGATACAGGAATAGTATCCCAGTATTGCTTATTCCATGCATGTGGGTTATCTTTGGGGTTTCTATAATGGTAGCACCATTCGGAGACGATGCCACTACTAGCTGCTTCTTGGGACACTATATGAAATCTGACGAGCCCTTAACCCTGTTGGAAGGGGTTCGATGTGCGAGAATATTTTTCTCGTCTATCGGGCTTGTACAGGCTTTGGTCCAACCACAAGTACAGTAAAACTGGTTTAGGGAGACTTGCCTGCTGGAGGCCCGTTACCTGCACTAAAATTAGTTCCCCTAGGTTAGCAACTTTTTGGGACAACAGGGCTCTTCGGCACGATCAGGGCTCCACAAAGGGATTCAGCGGGCAGTCTGTTTCGGATTCACTTCTTCGGAGTTTCGGGGCCTAGGTAAGCATCGGACATGACGAGAATCAAGCCCGCAAGTCTACAACTCGAAGGCCACAAACAAACCGCACACCACACTATAGGAGCCTGCATGAGTAGCAACACCCAAGCAAAAAAACAAGATTCTACCAACGAACCTTGATCCTACTATTGGCGGCCCTGCGCATGGTGCTAAACCGTACAACCCCTACTATTAAACATATGGAACCCCGAGAGAGCACTTATAGAGCCCTCGAAGAAAACCTACTCCAACATCTCGCGCCTGTAGAAGGTCGAACCCTACAAGGAGTCAGTGAGACCCAGCCAAAACCACATTCTAACTTCTACCCTACGGGTCGAGAGGACTCAATAATTAAGTACTTTAGGTTTCGGATAGTAGTTATGTAGGTTACTAGTTGGGAGAGTCTATGATTTTTAAGTACTTGGACCAATAGGGTCTAACCATCCCAGGTTATGACGACTATACGGTGAGTATTGTTTGTCACCACTGGGACACTAGGACCATTGTGTTGTGATGCAGGCTTTAAGCCCTAAACCCTAAACCCCTACCTCAAGAACCCAAAACCAACTGCTTTGTAGGGTCCCTATGAATCCCACATTGGGGTGTATAACACGAACCTGCCAAAAAGTTGGTTTTGGGTTCTTAAGGTAACCCTAAACCCTAAACCCTAAGGTAAACCCTAAACCCCAAACCCTAAGGTAAACCCTAAACCCTAAACCCTAAGGTAAACCCTCAGCTTGATAACTTACAGGCGGCTCGGGGTCAGGGTTCCGGAGTTCAGGGGGCTTAAGTCTACCTCAAGACTCAGGATCGGGTTAGGGTTTAGGGGTTTAGGGGTTCAAGGTTTAGGGTTCAGGGGTTTAGGGGTTTAGGGGTTCAGGGTTTAGCGTTCAGGGGTTGAGGGGTTTAGGGTTTAGGGCTAGGCATTCGGGTTCAGGTTGTGCGGTGTCGGGCTTTAGGGTTGAGGTCTCAAGGCGCAGGGTTTTCGGAGGTTTAGGGCTCAGAGAGGTTTAGGCTGGAGGGTTTGGCAAGGGGGCTGATCGCCGTGATTGTGGCATTGTGCGTGGCTATTGTTTAACGTGCATAAGCATTATCTTGTTAGTGTAGTGTTCATAGGGCCGTACCGCAGCAGGACTGCAGGAAGGGTCTCACTATCTATCGGTACTTTACTATGCTACAACTGCTATGATACCTATAGTCTCCATTGTAGTTCCTTGTTGGGGTTACCTTATAGGTTCCTTAATATAATATTGGTTAAACCAAAAAAAAAGGGACTACAATGGAGACTATAGGTATAATGTACACAGCTCAGAAGTAGGTAGTGCCGCAGTGTACATAGCAAGAACCCTAAACCCTAAACCCTAAACCCTAAACTCTAAACCCTAAACCCTAAACCCTAAACCCTAAACCCTAAACCCTCGACCCCAAACCTTAAACCCTAAACCTAAACCGTGGCCGTTCTGTTGCGTCGGCCCTATCGGGCAGGCTCTGTCCGCTCCGTGATCTGCACAGGCGACAACGTCTCCTGGCTGTTTGTTTAGGGTTTAGGGTTTAGGGTTTAGGGTTTAGGGTTTAGGGCTTTAATAACTTAGCCCAACTTGCCAGAAATTGGATATAGTTTAATGTTGTTATTAGTTATTAGCACAAATATTGTCATTATATATATATATATATATATGTGTGTGTGTGTATATGTACATATACAACGCATAAGACTTCTGCTTGTTTCTGGTAACTTGGACTCAGGTTTCCAGAAAAGGGGTATGTAGAAACTAGACATGAATATTCTTTAGCAACAAGTAGCAAGACCGTAGGCTTGCATGTTATGGTTCATGTACATAAGCGGTCCTCAAGTCTTGTTCTGATCTCGAGCTTCTATAGATCGTTTTGGGGGTTCCTTCTTATAGCTATAGTATGTTATAGCCCAAAACCCTATTCTAATCATTAAGGCCCCGATGTTACAGTCAGCTCCCTGAAATTCTGACCAGATGCCTCCGGCTGAATTCAGCTCTCTTCCCTGCGACCTAGGTAGTAGTCAGGCTACATCCTTGTGGGCAACGAATCCCCTGCAAGCTCAATCCTAAGCCCTAAACCCTAAACCATGTCAACATAGTCGCTCATGTGTTCTGGACTTGCAGGATTTGAGGTTGATTGTAAGGCTGGGCTCCGGACCGTATGGCGATTGATCAGCATAAATTGTACTATTTTGTTATTCTGGTAATAATGATTGCTGTTGTTTTATTGTTATTGTGATTGTGATTATTCATATTAAGAACTAGGGCTATGAATCTTTTTGTTATTACTAAGATTTTGTGATTATGATTGTGATTCACCATATTATGAACAATGATTATGAATGTTGTTGTAAGTCCTGCCCAGGAGCTTACCGGAATCGCTATCGGCAGGCACGGAAGCCTGAGCCGCCAAAGCCTAAACCCCTAGACCTAGACCCTGAATCCTACCTAGACCTGCAGGGTTTTAGGGTTTGGGGTTGAGGGTTTAGACCCCCCAAATACCTTCAATTACAGAGTAAACACCGTAGTGAGGACCATAGGGGCTCCATTAAGGGTACTTGAAGGGTCCTGGTAAAGCTTAAGCGGGTCAACCCTAAACGACACAGAAAGCCTAAGCCCTAAACGCCCTGAGCCACCAAACCCAACCCTGAGCCCTCCTTCACCAAACCCTAAACCCGAGGCCCAAGAACCTAAGTTTTCATCCTCAAACTCCAAATCCAGGGTTGCTTAAGGGAGGGTTTAGGGTTGAGGGTTTAGGGTTGAGGGTTTAGGGTTGAGGCTTTAGGGTTTACGGTTTAGGGTTCCTGTGACGAGGCTTGCTCTTAGGCTTCGAGGGGGTTCCTTTTTGTGGGGGTTCCCGGGTTCGAGAGGAGCCTCGGGAGGAGCTTGTTAGTCCAAATTTCGGGTTTAGGGTTTAGGGTTAAACCCCTAAGCCCTAAACCCTGAACCCTGAATCCTAAACCCGTTTTGGTGGCTTCTGGGATTTCACGGGGCTGCCAGATTTTTTTTCCAGGGCTTCGGGGATTGCATCTTAGGCGCGGAAATTTCTTCGAGGATTACATTTTAGGCCCGGAAACGAGCACGGATCTAGGCTGCGGTGAGCGCTCCATCGCTGGCGAGGTTGATTTGTCTTGCAGAGCGAAGATGGCGAGCCAATTATAATTATTTGGCGTGAGGTCTGCGCTATCGCGCCAGTGGCGCAGCCCTTGCTTTGCAAAGGCAAGCTGATGAGAGCCGGCTGGTGGCGTCAGAGGAAGCCGCACATGTGCTCAGAGCATGGTCGTGGGTGTCCTGGTGAGCTGGAAACTCTTGGTGCACCAAGGCTCCCATCCATCTGATCCCAAATGGGAGTTTCCGAAAATAGAGGACCTTAATATAGTACCCTAAATAATGGGATCCTTAATATAAGGACCCCAAAATAAGGTACCCCTAATTTTCGGAAACCCCCAAATCCTAAAGTCTACAGCCTAGCACCAGCTCGGCCCTGCATTAAATAAGTTCGTGGCGGAGCTCTGCAGTCTGTCGTGGCTCGGGTCTAGGGGTTTGGGGCTTTCAGGCCTAAGGCTTTAAAGCCATGCAGGGGAGTGGTGTTTCATTCGCTGCCTCTTATAGACCTTGCCCATTGACCACGCCGCCCTGGTCAAAGCTCCATTTGATCTGCCTATCCGTGCAGGCTTCATTCAAGCTCATTGCTAAAGATACCCTAAACCCCTAAACCCTAAACCCTAAGCCAAGAACCCTAAAGCCCATTATATCCTGGTTTACTACAAAGCCCTACGTACCCCTGCTGCGAGGGCCTGCGGAATCGTGCTGTCTCATACCTGCCTTCGTGGTGCAGTCGTGGACGGCGCGGCCCTTAGGATGGGGACCTTTTCTACCCAGAGACTCCAATACCCCT